AAAAGCGTTAAGTTAAAAACTTTGGTGCAGAATTTACCTTCACCTGGGAGTTGGGCCTCAGCTGCCTGGCTCAAGTTGGTGGTAGGGCTCAGGGCGGGGCCGTGGGAGGGGCCGGAGAGGTTCCTCAGAGAGTCCGCGGTATCATCAAGAGTGATTTGGTCAGGAGAAAACACCTCCATGTCCTCCAGAGGTGTCCAACGGGGGTCCTGCTGTGGGGAGGAGGGCGCGGGCTCCAGGGTCACTGAGGAGGTAATAGGAGGCTCCGCCCGCTCCTCGCCCCGTCCACCTCCCTCCACAGCCAGCTCTTTAATCTGTAGGACGTCACTGCACCATTTCTGCCCAAAGACCTTGTCCAGGATCGGAAACCATTCCTGGGAGACTGAGAGCACGGGGGAGCGCTGGGAATCTGCAGGAGCAAAAGGCAACTTCTTCACAAACATTCCCGTTTTGGCAACATTTTAGGCTAACTTTGAGCTATTCTTGAAAGCACATAAGCTAGCTTTCATCAAATTGTATCTTAGATGATCTAACAGTAGCCAGAGGTTAGGTTTTTGGTTAGCCTTTGACCCACCTCCTGCTTCTGTCTTCTCTTTCACGACTGCAACCTCAGCCAGATCTTCTCGGGCATCCTCTGAGCCACTGGGTGACACCGAGTCGTTCTCCGAGCCTCTCCTTTTACCCGCCACTCCTCCGCCGCCGCCGCCTCCTCCTCCTCCTCCGTGGGACTTCTTGTCTCGTTTCTCCTCTAGGATTTGATGTTCAGTCTCCATCTTGGTGATCTCCAGCAGGAGGTCATCAAACGACGCCTCCACGATCTTGGTCAGCTCACACACGGCAAAATTCAACACTTTCTCCATGACGAACTTTAGCTGACCTGCAGCGGGGAGTGAGAGAGAGCGCCATCATCAGGACATGTTCAGCATCACTGCCCTATGAAAAAAAAACTCTCACACTGATGTGAACACCTGAACCTTTTCCATCTGTTATCAGAACTTCCTATCGGTCAAGAGAGCTGACCTCAGGAACACGACGTAGGATTGAACCGCTATTCTCTTCTCTACAGTCCAGGGTTATCAAAGTTCACCGGTCAGAACCTCACAGGTCTCAGATCAGAGGACACATGTCTGGCTGATTCCCTCTGCCCCTAATGTTTAAAGACTCAGACGGTGACGTCTCCTTTCTGTGTTTAACTAGGCCTACTGGCTCACGTCTGTCTGTGGACACTGTCTGTCACCTGTGGACCTCACAGAGACCAGAGACACAGGACAAAGATAGGAGACACAAAGAGGACGTGTCAGAGACAGTGGGAGACCCTGTCTCTTTGTGGGAATTTATATATATAGCAAATACGTAGCAGAAAGCAACATAACTTTCAAAAATGTCAACTGTGAACATCTGGTTTCTTACCGACGACCCTGCCCCTCTGCTCCAGGCGGCGTGTGTCGGTGTGGCAGCGAAACTCGGTGCTGCGACCTCCGGGGGCGTGTACCCTCTGCTGACGCCGCTGCTGCTGCTGCCGATGCTCGGGCTTTGTTCCGCCGGTCTGCACTGCCTCTTCCTCACACCTCTTAATCGCGGAGCCTGTTCCACCGCCGCCGTCTACGCCGTCGACGTCGTCCTTCTTCTCCTGGGACTGCAGCTGGACCCGGAGCCGCTGGTTTTCCTGCTCTTTGACGGTGGTCTCCAACAGCAGCGCGTTCAGGCTGGAACCGACCGTTGTGCTGATTTCCTGGACGGCGAACTGAACGACCTGCTCCAGCACGGACTCCAGCTGCCCCTGGAAAAACGAAATGTACACGGCCCCGTTCATGTTGTTGCCCCCCCCGGCGGAAGTGCTCTCTCATTCTTTGAAAAGCGGAGTCTGGAGACCTAGCCGTCGCCCGCTACAGCCGTCGGTAACACCCGTAGATTGTTGTGTGACTGCTCGGATCCGCTCGGGTGTTGTCGCCGAGGGTCGGCACTCTTCATCGGACCGCGGCGTTCCTCTTCTCTCGCTCCAGCAGCGGCAGCAGCAGCGTGTTCTCCAGTCTACCAGAAACACTCGAGTAAAGGCGCAGCAGCATTTGCCCGCCCACATGTTGCCGCGCACTCGCCTGCAGTCCGCCATTTTGGCTGTGACTCAATAACAGCAGTCAGTCACAACTTCAGCTCTTGACCGCAGTACATCCTTTCATCCCGTGGGTCACTCCCTTTCTCGTGTTTATATAATACACGAGACCTCGTTTATCACAATCACCTAATGTTTGCGTTTTAATAAAATTAAAATGAACTCTACTACTTTTATAAGCTTCTAATGTGTTTTGCTAAGCTAGCCTTTCTTAGACTCAGTCAGGCTAAACCGATCTGGTTAACCAGTTAACCACCTTGTTGCTGATGCTAAGAAACAACATTTTACAGTTGAACCCCCAAACATATATTTTTTTAATGTAACGTTGTAGTAATACGTAATATTATAACTAGTGGTTAATATTGGTGTTATTACTGTATCAGTATCAGTAGTTGTCTCGCATCATTTGAATATTTTTTCCAATTATTTTTGTGGCCAACATTCAGATGATTCCCTCTTAAAGAAGCAGACGAAGAAGAAAAAGGTTACTTCACAAACACGAAAAAAAAAACAAAGGGGCGTGTTCGTTGTTTTGTTTCTCGGAGTCTGTCCTCTCCGTCGTCCCGCCTCCACCACCACCTCTGAACGAGCGCGTGCTGCAGCACAGGCACACTCCCCCTAAAAAATCCTGCGCGTTTTTACCCTACATTACGGTGGCTGTATGAGGAAGCGAGGGGACGGGCCAGTGGGCGGGGACCTGGATGCGAAGCCACACGAACATCCGCGTCTTTGTTCTGTGGAGCCGAAGGAGGCCGAGCCCGGCCGAGTCCGTGAGAGTCAGCGAAAGTGCGCGTGTCTGCGTGAACGTAACATGTGAATGTTACGTCATGGATGTGTTCAGGGCAGCACGTGCTCCGTGCAGAACAGGGGCTGGACAGCTGTGGTGGAGCTCGAGCGCACACGCACCAACGCACCGTGTTTACCTGGAGGTTTCAGGGTTTAATGACACTTTTGTGTTTGTGTTGTGTTGGTTATGTAACCCTGTGTTACCACACACACACCAATATTAGAGCCCCTACCTACAGGCCTGTAGGATGAATCACTACGTCATACGCCACGTGTTGGGAGGGGGGTGTAATTTGTGGAACACCTGTGGAACCTCACTAGTTCAGCAGCAACCAATAACAGGAGTGGGACAGTAGAACTACTGTACTCTGTGCAGGTCCAACACAGGAACAGGCTGTTGGTACCAAAAACAGTACCAAAGCACTCACGCATCTACACCAATGTTTATGTAGAAAATAAAAATCAGTTCTATAGACTTTGGTCTGTGAGCTAAAATGATTTCACTCATTTCCTCTGTGGACTTTGTTCTGGGAGAGATGGTCCCACGTCTGACTCAGGTCTAATTCCAGGCATATGCTCAATGACGTCAGACAGCTCCCTCTGCTGGTAGAGACAAGACAGCTCACCCAGGGAGTGTTTGAATGAACAGGTCTTCGTTGGAAGTCCAAGATACTGACCTTTGTTGTTATATCCCACCTCCAGCTGCTTAAATATTGATTAATTTACATCAATGACATGGTCTTTGTTCTAAGATATGATACAAAATTACAACACACACACACTCTGGCTCATCATTGGATTTCCTTATTAACAATGTCATTAAAAAGTTATGGAATCATGTAAAATGATCATGTATTGGTTGTTTAATTTGGCACTGTATAGAGACGTGGGTCAGTCAGACAGATCTTATTGGTCTGACTATCTGCAGGATGTCATTTTCAGAGTCGGTACATGGAGTAAAAAGCTTCTAACCACTGAGCAGAAACAAAATCCAGAAAACTCTAATTCAAAGAAAATTAAATATAAATATTTAAGCCAGGTTGAAGCTCAGACGAAGGATCATCTGGTCACTGATCCAAACACAAATTCATCCCATTTTATAATTATTTTGAAGAAGCAGTGACAAAAAGAAGCTACTCTTTTTTTTAGTATTTTTTATGACCCAGTCCAGGTGCTAAACTAGCAGAAGTAGCTCCTACAGTCAAGGGATGTGAAGACGTGACCATAGTACCAGTAAAAGTTAGTTGAAGTTTTTAAGTTGCTAAAGTAGTTGGAGTTACTACAGTAGTCGAAGTTGCTCAAGTTTCTAAAACAGCCAATGATTCTAAAGCAGGTGAAGCATCGAGGAGACAAATGTGAGAGTTAAGGAAATGAAAGATCTGGATCTCCTACATCTCCACCTCCTCCCTAACCACATCCATGAATCTTCCCACTTCTCCATTTCCACTCCTGGACCTGGAACTGTTCACCTGTGGCCTGCAGACGCTGGTACCGACTGGAACTGTTTGGTCCCATCATCAGGCTCTGGTGGAGACACAGAGATTCCCTTCCT